TTGCTTTCATTTATGATTGCGTCATTTGAGACCCTGGTTTGTGGGTTTCAGTGTTATGCCAACTCCAACCATGCTGTACTGCTTTCATAATGCAAAATAGCCATTACCTTTTTGTCAATGCATATAGCAGCTTCTATTAGTTCTATATACATCTTCCATCGTTACAGAGAGCTATGATAGGTTTATTTTGATGCTAAAAATGCATTTAAGGTTTTAACTTGATGAGTTCGAGAATAGGCTGGCAAACTTAATGCTGTCTTTCGTAGAAGGTTACCAAGCTTTAATGCTCAAACAGAACAATTTAAAGATCTACCCTGATCTAGATTATTAAAAATGCTGCGTCGTATGCTTGTGACAAATGAACAGTAGTGTTGGATTTCAGGTGTGATTAGGCATGGACCGGTTCCGGACTGGGCCGGTCCAAACCAGGCTTTTTGTTTGTGGGTAAAGGCCCGGAACCAGCCTGGGATTCCACCGGGCCTGCGCCGGGTTATATATATATATATATATATATATATATATATTTACTTAGCTTATCTAATTAATTCGACCCCCCAACACACCCAGCCCAACCCGCCTGCCACCAAAAAAATTTGAAAAAAGAAACAAAAAAATGGGCCCCGGCCTGGCTGGTACCAAAGGAGGTGTCTGAAACCGCCCCCAACAATCCCCTGGGCCGGTCATAGGCCCGGAACTGGTCTCGGTTAACCGGGCCGGTACGGTCCCGCACACTGGCGGTCCGGTCCGGTTCCCCGGTCGGTCAGACCAGAATGGCAGAACCGGGCCACCCATTGGTGTGATGTGAATGTAATAAACTTTTTTCCCGTAATTGGATTGGAAAAGTTGGTGGATCTTGTTTTATGTATTTGCTCCATGAATTCAAGAGTGCACCTGAAGAACGATCATGTCATTATACAATAACTTCAACAACAGTGCTTGGTTTATACACTTCACACTCCAGAGAGATTAGGGCTGGACTCGGCCCGGGGGTTCTGGAATGGGGGCCCCAGAACCGGCCCGGGTAATCCCCGGGTCCGGGTCGGGCCGGGCCTCGGGCCTTTGTTATATATATATATATATATATTTTTCCTTTTCCTATTTAACCCTCAACCCCCCCTCACCCCCAATTCCCCAAATGGCCTAAAATACCCAGCCCAACTCGAAAAGTAAAAAAAATTGAAAAAAAAATTGAAAAAAGGCCCGGAACTGGGCCCGAACTAGCCTGGTCGGTTCATGATTTGGGGGCCCAAGCCCGGACCGGAACCCCCGCTGGTCGGGCCTACCCGGACCGGTCACTGACCGGGCCACCGGGCCAGAACAGTGCCGGTTCGGGCCGGTTCCGGGTCGGGCCACCCGGCCCGAGTCTAGGCCTTATAGAGACATACATACAAAAACCTTGGTTGGAAGTTTGGTTTGACAACCAATAGAAGTAAAAACATCTTAATTGGTGTACTTTTGGGTTTCATTGAACTATCTAATTTCTTTATATTTCGTGAAATTTAGTTACATAATTATATAATATGGAGTATTATTTTTTCTTGTTTTATAGGGTTGTTTGTCATTTAGAACAGAGCCTCTAAAATTCATTAGACAATCATGACAACCATTTAGAACAGAGCCTTAGAATACAAAGTATTTATTTTATGTTAAAGACTCATATCTCAACTTAGATGACTTAGATGTCCTTGATAACTCTTTTAGAATTGATATATTAATTAATTTAAGGACTAATTTGATTTTGCACCCCATTTTTAAGTGATATTTACTTTCATTAATGTATACACTTATTTCTTTGCGGGAAAGTTCCTGAAATGGGACCAAAAACGTTTGTAAATTCTAAAATAGGGCTGTCATGTTTTTATTCCTAAAATATGAGTAATTACTGTCAAGTTTGGAAAATACTGCCATGTTTAAAGTCTGGTACTGCCAAAACATGACAGTAATTAGTCTCATTTAGGGAATTAAAAACATGGCAGTTCCATTTTGGAATTTACAAACCTTTTTAGTCCTATTTAGGGTAAATTCTCTTTCTTTGCCCTACACTCATCCACTAATTTTTGAACTGATGATGCAAATATCATTCATATTGATGAAAATCAAGTATAAACTATAAAGTGAGTTTAATATCGCACATAACTGTATACCTTAATGTAATCGTTACATCAATTCGGCTAGGTACTGTCGATTAGCATTAATAAATGACCCACAGGCTAGGAGTGACAAAATCTATGAGCATAGATAAATTAATACTGTTGACAATTCGGTTTTGAGAGGGAAGATGTATAATTAATAGTCTAATCACTATTCACTAATGCTGTTCATTATTAAATTATAAATTATACGGAGTAATAATAAATTAATCGTGAAGTATCGGCATGCATCCCTTCCATCCACTTGCAGATCAAACGCACTCCCCCCTGTCTGTTGAGTCCATAGCTCCGTGATTCCCTTCTCGGGCTCGATTATAAGATCCTGGATAGATCTATCATTCTCAGATTTTTTTTTATGGAATCTTTCTCAGAAATATAAATCATAAGAAGTTTAGGATCTTTAATTTTGTTTTGTTTGATTTTAGTAGCTTATTTGGTGCTAGTAACGCTTGGTTTTCTGAGTCACTTTTTCTTTCAAAGGATGCCACTCTTAATACTTTCTGAGCATTTTCAGGATTTGATTCCTTAGGGATTCCTGGGTTTGTGTTAGAATTGGAAGACTGAAACTCACTTGCAAAGGTTTATGATTGTTTCTCAGAGGTTTTGGGTTTCCTGAAATGGGTGTGTTGATTTTGTGTTGAAAAAAAGAACTGGGGTTGTAGGTTGAGCTGAAAGGGTTGTGACTGGATTTGCCAATGGATAATGAATTGATGACAGAGGAGAGTAAGTTTGTGGAATCAGAAAAAGATGCATTGAATGGGGAGAAAGAAGACGAAGAAGGCGAATCTCAATCCTTATTGCCTCATAAGAGAGGAGGATTATCTAAAAAGCCTGGAAACCCTAAGCTCAAAGTCCACTGGAATGATAGACATGGAAAAAATCTTGTTCAGATCGTGGAATTCCAACCAAGGTACTTTATTTTTACTAATTCACTATCATGAACTTGAAGTTCGTATTCATCATTTCATATTTTTTTCTTGATGATATCTTTAGGGGATTTGAGAGAAAATGTATGATGTAGTTCATACTTTTTATTTGCAATAGTTTTGACCCCCATGCCGGAAAACAGAAATATAATGTTGAGCACTTGAGCTAAGTAGATCTTGAGTGGAACTAACTAATAGATTAGATTTAACCAAATGACTTACAACATAGTTGATTGATCCTAATCAAGTCATGAATTCTGTTTGAGTGGATAGGATAAGATGCTATTACATGTGAAGATGGTGCATTCTATGGCTTTTATGGACTATATTGAATCTGGTTTTATGAAATCAAAATATTTGTATGAATGTTTAGTCGTTTGGATTGAGATTGACACCTTTGGAAAAAGTGCAAAACTCAACATTTGTCAAGAAAAAAATGACACATTAAAATAAGAACGTGGTTTTATCCAGGGCTATTATGTTTGTGATAGCCAAGGGTAGATAATGTGGTGCAGATTAGTGGAAGATATTAGTACAAATTGAACCTGCAAGGTTTTGATTGTATATGGCTGGTAAACTTTGATCTTGGTTCTATAGGTGATGTAGTATATTGCGGAGTAACACATTATAAAGTTCAAGTTATGTTTAAGAACTTCACTATGTTTTCTTATTTACGGAGTTTGAATTATGAACCTTCGCATTAAGAATAAGGTTAAGTCTAATTCGAACTGGGAAGAGCTCACGAGAGAGGTAATGATAGTCCAGCATGGTTTTATCTTTCATGAGCTAATGCGGGGTTACCTCAACAGTTGGTTATTTTAATTGGTGTCTATGAGCATCCCTATAAATTAAGGACTTTTGCTTTTCACTTGAACTGTATAATGTGATCAATTTTTTTATATATGGCTGACCTGGACTAAACCTTTCAAGTGTGTCCTGGTCTAAATCTTTCTAATTTGATTTTCCATTCTTTTGTTTGAAATCATTAAGATCCAACACAGGAAAATGAAAAAGAGAATGATGAATTAATAAAACCTTGAGTTGAACTAGTTAGCTGATTCCATTCAATATTTTAGTGTGGTTTGACCTCAGACCCCAACACAATCCCATATTCTATTCGTCTGGTCTTGCCTAATTGATTGTCTTATCTGAATCCTTGTGATCTAATGGTACACTTTTGTTCTTTGGATACAGCGATGCAAGCGACTCGGAGGAAGACGACTCAGACTATTGTATGTGTACAATAATGTAGTTCCTTCTTATCACTTTATGCGACACCACACAACTTTAAGTCTCACACAAACATCTACATGTTTTGTTTCTCTAATCGAAGTATCGAACCACAAGTGATAGTAATGCTTCTCGTGGGAAAACACCCTGTTTACCCTAATTTGGTTCGCATAGCACTTCAGGCCAAATCCTAGGCATCTTTCTTTACTTTATGGGGAAAATAGATATCATAGGACTTGTGTAATAATGTAATACCGTATTACTGAACAATAGTGTATATGTGTATATATGTTCCTAAAAAATGTTTACTATGAAACACCATTGTCCGTGACAGATGTGTATGATGAAATGCAGTAGCAGATAGGCATTTAGGAGCTTCTCTTTATATATGTATGAACAAATTTACAAACTGCATTTTGAACAAATAAGATTTTCTTATGTTTTGTAGTCTATGGCAGAAAGGAATGTTTGGTTGGATGGGGTTGTTTAATTATTTTTTCCTTCCCTTGACTCTGGGTAGAGCTGACATGTGTTGGTCGATAGGATCAAATGATAAAAAATGTTAGGGAAATAAATAAAATTATACGGAGTAGAAGATATTTTGAAGAAAATGTTGATAAAAGTAAAACACTGGTTCAAAGAAGTAAAGAACTCAATAATTATGTTTATTTTTTTTAATTTATCTTTAGCATGTAGATACTGTGAAGCAATGTTAGAAAACTCCAACTCTAGTCTTACAGATCACAGAATTGGTTCAAGAAATATCTCAAAGGCAACTTTTATTCTCAAAGGCAACAATGGCCGAAGGCCTAAGGCAACAGACTGCGTACAGGTCAACACCCGGTTAGTTATTAGCTCAAACAGTCTTGACTAATAACAAACCCTATTTCTAGAATACACTTTATTGAAGTATTTATCTCTTATCTTCATATTCGTAAAGTCTCTATCAAATCTCCCCTCCTAAACATCCACCTTGCCCTCAAGGTGGGAGATAGGTAGCAACCAAAATCTCCTTTTTCTTTTTCATCCTAGCGCTCCTGCCTTCCCAATATTTCACAAATTTCTGAAAGAGACACTTCATTACTCGGTCTTGCCAATTCACAGACGTTTCCCGAGCATCCCTGCTATTATGAGGCAACACAGGAACTGAGCCACCGCTTGTGCATGGAGATACAAAGTCAGCTCCTTCCTTGGTCTGGATATTAAGATCAATAGTCTCTTGTTCCATGTTCTGTCCCTGTTTGTCTTTATAACACTGTAAATACCCTTCCTCAGTTGGTTGCAGAATCTGTGCACTGATTGTGATAGAATCATCTTTTTCATTTAGGGTTTTAGCCCCTCTAATTGAACAATTCTGACTCTCCTGCTTCCATATGAGGATCTGTTTTTGGAAATTGATTGCCATGTCTCCCAATGGCATTAACCACTCCAATCCCAAAATCACATCATTCTCTCCCAGCTCTAAGGTGTAGAAAGTTTGATTGATTTTGTCACGCCCCGGACCGCATCCGAGCGCGTGTACAACCGCCGTATGACTAAATGACGTCACTCGCAAGTCAACGTAACTTAATCATACAAGGCGTCCATGAACATTGTTCATACCATACTCAGTAAGTAAACATACATAACAATATCACATATTTGGATTGAACGAATCGCGGAAATATTCAATATTCAATCATGGACCACATATGGCCAAAACGTGGACTCGCAGGCCCAAAACAAATGTACTTATTACAAAGTATCCATGAGCATAGTTTATAGTTTAAAATAGTAAAGGAAGCACGAACCACATCTCCCTTTAGATTACTTCACCGAGCAAGGTGAGAATGCAAGCTTGAGCTTCAACCTGAAATGGTGGGGCCCCCCGAAGGGGTCAGTACAAGTACCGAGCGAGTAGCAGGCTAAATGTAGAATAACTAACGTTTCAAGTATAAGACCCAAACATAGGGTGATACATATACATATAGTTCTTTCCCCCAAGTTATGAAATATATATCATTATATATACACTTGGAAATACCCGACCCTTAGGTCATTGTTTATTTGGGAAGTAATATAGCCGTTAACCTTGGCTTAAACCCCAACCCACCCATATACCTATGAGTGTATAGAACTCCTCCTGGTTCAATCATCTTAACATGAGGACACCGCCCGGTCCCAAATTATAAAATAATAATCTATGAGTTTTGAGGATACACGCCCGATCCTTGGGTACTCCACCCTATAACCGAGTTTTGAGGATAACCGCCCGATCCTTGGGTACTCCACCCTATAACCGAGTTTTGAGGATACCGCCCGATCCTTGGGTACTCCACCCTATAACCGAGTTTTGAGGATACCGCCCGATCCTTGGGTACTCCACCCTATAATCGAGTTTTGAGGATACCGCCCGATCCCTGGGTACTCCACCCGACTTATGATCTACCACATATCATCCTAGATAAGGTCTATATCATAATCAATAATCAAGACTAAACCAAGTCTTAAGGCCTAAGCATAATCATCCATGCAATTCATGCATTAAAAATCAACATATAGGCAAAACAGTGCCAAACCGGCGCCGGTTTTGACATAACCGGCGCCGGTTATTAATTAATTTAATAAAACCGGCCATGCCGATCCATAACCGGCGCCGGTTTTGCCTATAACCGGCGCCGGTTGCCCCCTGGGCAACCAAGTCAACATTTTCGTTGACTCGCCATTTCAAACCCGATTTGCGTCAAACTTAATCCCAACATGTATTAAGTTATAACCAAGCATTTTATGCCCCTTTTATCCCTTAATACATCATATATGTTTTTATAAACATTTTCATATCATACTTCATTTATGATATCAATGGGTCATACATATAAATCTAATCACTTTGGATAATCACATGTTTAAGCATCTTTTAAACATCATTATGAACACATATAACATTTACTTAGGTAATCTCATAATTAACCCAAGAGTTATAAGACATTAAGCCGTCCACTCACCTCGAATGAGCGTGATGAAGTTCTACCCTTCTCGGTTGAACTCCGGCCAAACTCCGGTGAACTTTGACGAACTCCGGCGATAACTCCGGTGACTCTTAAACTTCGTGGTGGCTCTTAAATCACCCTTGTCAAGTGCCTAACAAGGTTTTATCATCACAAAACCCAAATTAATACAAATAACCTCTAAAAGGTTATTTTCCGGCTAACCGGTCGTTTTGGCTCCTAAGTCCGTTCTTGGACATAGAATCACTTCTCAACCCTTATTTCTACATTTATAAATATGTAGAGCTATTAAAAGGGTTCCTTACATGCTATGTAAGTCATATGAGCATCAAATGGAAGGAGAAAAGTTGTTATAAGGTCATTACCTTAATCTTTCACCCTTTTCTTCACCTTCCTTCACTCCAAGCACCTCTTTTGCTTCTCTTCTTGCTTGAGCTCGATTTTGGGGATGATGGTGGGTGTTTTGCAGCTCACTCTCTCCCTCTTGGTGTGTCTTGGCCGAAGTGATCACATGGGGTGAGAGGAAGTTGCCTCTTTTGACTTATTCTACAATAAGGGTGAGGGAATAGGCCCTCCCATGTCTCCTCTTGATGCCTATCAACTCACACCCCCCTCCTACTAACTTCCCATCCTCATTCATAGAATCCCCTTGATAATTTGTGGTCTAATTTCGTGGGTTGGCCCCCACTCATGTGGGAGGTCAACCCTTTTTGTCCAAAAGTGTACAATCGGTCCCGAAAGTTGTATTTCTCGGACTGTTTTAACTATACTTTATTTTATCGGGTCAAATAAAATATAACACTTGCTTCCCCTCATAATGGGCCTTTAGGATGATTATACATTCTCCAACTTTAATTTGGAAGTCCCCGAAATTCATCTCAGACTGTTACCCGATAAATTACCCAAAACCGGTAATTGGGCCTTGTTTGACCAACCGGTCAACCCAACGCCTTTCTTATGGCCCAAAGTGAATGTCCACCACCATATAACTATTATCTATACCAAGATGAATAAAACATGCGGTCTCGGGAATATTGGGTGGTCCCCGCTCCCGGTGTGGGCCCCACGTGCAATTTACTATTCATGCAAAAGAATTAACAAAAATTTACAACCTCGTAAATTCATTAACCATTTCATAAGGTTCAATACATAATTTACACAAAAGTAAATATACTTGGGGACGGTGTTACAAGTTCACCCCCCCTTATTTGGGATTTCGTCCCCGAAATCAACGTGTCTAATCGAAAAGAAACGGGTATTGCTCCCTCATTGAGACCTCAGTCTCCCAGGTTTCTTCTTCGACTCGATCACTCCTCCACAGAACCTTCACCATAGGAATCTCCTTGTTCCTAAGTTTCTTCACCTGTTGGCCCACAATCTTCACTGGTTCTACAGCATATTGCAGGTCCTCCCGGATCTCCACCGGTGGTTTCTCAAGAATATGTGATGGATCCCGCACATACTTCTTGAGCATCGATACATGAAATACATCATGAATCTTCTCAAGTTCAGGGGTCAACTTGAGACGATACGCTACGGCTCCAACCCTCTCAAGGATTTGAAACGGACCAATGTATCGGGGGTTAAGCTTACCCCTTGATATGAATCGGATGATGCCTTTCCAAGGAGAGATCCTTAGAAAGACTTCATCCCCGACCTCAAACTCCAACGGCCTCCGCCGTTTGTCTGCATAGCTCTTCTGCCGGTCTTGGGCAGCCATGAGTCTATCACGAATGATCTTCACCTTAGTCTTGGTGATCTCAACGAGTTCTATCCCTTCGAGTTTGGCCTCACCAACCTCATCCCAACACAAAGGTGTCCTGCACTTCCTCCCATATAAAGCCTCGTATGGAGGCATGCCAATACTCGCCTGATAACTGTTGTTATAAGCAAACTCAACCAGAGCCAAATGTTTGTCCCAACTCCCTTGGAACTCCAAAGCACACGCTCTAAGCATGTCCTCCAAAATCTGTATCACCCGTTCGGACTGTCCATCCGTCTGTGGGTGAAAAGCTGTACTGAACTTCAGTTTAGTACCCAAGGATGCTTGAAACTTTGGCCAAAATCTGGATGTGAATCGTGGATCCCTATCTGAGACAATGGATATGGGGACTCCATGCAATCTCACAATTTCTTCCGTATATAACTTGGCTAACCTTTCAAGAGGGTAAGTAATGTTGATAGGCAAGAAATGTGCGCTCTTGGTGAGCCTATCGACCACTACCCAAACTGCATCATAGTTGTTCACCGTCCGTGGTAGCCCTACCACGAAGTCCATAGTCACATGTTCCCACTTCCATTCTGGGATGGTAAGCGGCTGTAATAGTCCTGCCGGGTGTTGGTGCTCTGCCTTAACCTGCTGGCAAGTAAGGCATCGACTCACATACTCTGCGATGTCTCTCTTCATACCTGACCACCAGTAACTCTCCTTCAAGTCTCGGTACATCTTAGTACCCCCTGGATGCATGGCATAGGCCGAAGAATGAGCCTCCTCTAGTATAGACTTCTGGAGTTCTTCATTCTTTGGTATGCACACACGGTCTTTAAACATCAAAAGGCCATCATCACGTACCCGAAAGTTCTCAACGGGTCCCTCAAGGATCCGTTCACGGATCTTCTGACACTCCTCATCAATGGCCTGACATTTACTGATTTCACTCAGTAATGTGGGCCTAACCTCAAATCTAGCAATGAGGGTCCCATGCGTGGACACCTCCACGCGTGCTCTCAATGCCCGTAGACATGTGAGTAACGTCCCCGACGTACTCTTCCTGCTTAGCGCATCGGCCACCACGTTGGCCTTTCCGGGATGGTAGTCAATGATCAAGTCGTAGTCCTTGATCAACTCCATCCATCTCCGTTGTCTCATATTCAACTCTTTCTGAGTGAATACATACTTCAAACTCTTATGATCAGTATAAATGTGGCATGTCTCTCCGTAGAGATAATGCCTCCAAATCTTCAGTGCAAACACTACCGCCCCCAACTCCAGATCGTGGGTAGGGTAGTTCACCTCATGTTTCCTCAATTGCCTAGAAGCGTAGGCTATCACCTTACCATTTTGCATCAACACACATCCTAGGCCTTGGATGCTAGCATCGCTATAGATATCGTACCCTATCCCCTGCTTGGGTAGGGCAAGAACTGGTGCCTCGGTAAGCCGCTTCTTCAATTCAAGAAACCCTTTCTCACATTTGTCATCCCATATGAACTTGGCCCCCTTCTTTGTGAGCTTCGTCAATGGAGATGCCAACACGGAGAATTTCTCGACGAACTTACGATAGTATCCTGCCAGGCCAAGGAAACTACGTATTTCCTTCACATTCTTGGGTCTCTCCCAGTCGATGATGGCTCTTATCTTGGAGTTGTCCACAGCAACGCCCGAACCGGATATGACATGCCCGAGAAAACCAATCTCTTTGAGCCAAAATTCACATTTGGAGAACTTGGCAAAGAGTTGTTTTTCTCTAAGTCGTTCAAGCACAAGCCTCAGGTGATGTTCATGCTCCTCCTCGCTCTTGGAGTATATCAAGATGTCATCAATAAACACTATCACAAATTGATCCAGGTATTCACTAAACACTCGGTTCATCAAGTCCATGAATGCCGCCGGTGCGTTGGTTAACCCGAATGACATCACAAGAAACTCATAGTGACCATATCTAGTGCGGAATGCACTCTTAGGTATGTCACTTTCCTTGATCTTCAACTGATGATAGCCCGATCTCAAATCAATCTTTGAGAACACTATCGCCCCCCGAAGTTGATCAAACAAGTCATCAATCCTCGGTAAAGGATACCTATTTTTGACCGTGACCTTGTTTAACTGTCGATAATCTATGCACATTCTCAATGTGCCATCTTTCTTCTTCACGAAGAGTACGGGTGCTCCCCACGGTGAGTGACTGGGCCTAATGAATCCGTTGTCCAAAAGTTCTTGTAGTTGGACTTTCAACTCTTGAAGTTCCACCGGTGCCATTCGATAAGGAGGTATCGAAATGGGTTTGGTTCCCGGTTCAACTTCAATTACGAACTCAATCTCCCGGTCGGGTGGAAGTCCCGGCAAGTCTTTGGGAAATACGTCCGGATACTTGCACACGACACGTACATCGTTGATGTCTATCTCTTTCTTTGTCTCATCTACTACGTAAGCAAGGTATGCGTGGCATCCTTTTCTCATCATCTTCCGTGCTCTCATCACGGATATGATACAACCATGAGATCCTCCCCGATCTCCCTCGAAACGTAAGGTGTTCCCCTTATCATCCTCGAGTTCCAACACCTTGGTGTAGCAATCAACTCGAGCATGGTGCTTTTCAAGCCAATCCATTCCTAGGATAGCATCGAACTCCATCATACTTAGAGGTACGAAGTCACAAGTCAATGGTTGACCCGTCACTTCTACCTCACATGATGGATAGTAATGGTTCCTCTCCACGTCGTCTCCCAATGGTGTGGAGACTAACAAGGTTTGCGTCATTGGCGTCAATGGCACGTCAAGACCTTCGGCGAACGCTTCGTTCACAAATGAACGTTGAGCCCCGGTATCAATGAGAATTCTTGCATTTCTTCCATTGATCAATAGTGTCCCTACATTTACAGATGATGTAAGACACACTACTCGAAGTACCGGATCGAAAATGGGCTAAACGAACATTTCTTGGCCGAAAATGTACTGGACCGGCGCCGGTTCTAGGACAGACCGGCGCCGGTTTTCCCCTGGGGTGGCCGAATACCCAACAAATACACTGGACCGGCGCCGGTTATGACCAAAACCGGCGCCGGTTTACCATCGGCAACCTCGGAAAATAATTTTCTTTAAAAACCGGCCCCGGTTACGAGCACGGTGATTTGCCCCGACCAATTTTCCACTAGACCGGCGCCGGTTATGGGCAAAACCGGCGCCGGTTTTCCTTCGGCACCCCTCGGAAAATCCCATTTTTAATTGTTTCAACACCTCCGAAACCGGACCGGCGCCGGTTATGGGCAAAACCGGCGCCGGTTTACCTACGGCAGCCCCAAACTATTAATTTTTAAATAGAACCGGCGCCGGTTTAAGCCCTGACCGGCGCCGGTTTACCCCTGGGCAGCTGTATTCCTACAACTTTTTGCTAAAAACCGGCCGGTATCGAC